GCCTTCCAAGTAGCTGGAACTACAGGCGCGTGCTACCACACCCGGCTAATTTTTTATTTACTGTAGAGATGAGGTCTTGCCAAGTTACCCAGGCGGGTCTTGAACCCGCGGGCTCAGGCATTCCACTCACCTCAACCTCCCAAGGCACGGGATTACAGGCTGAGCCACTGAGCCTGGCTACCTTTTTCTAAATTATTGATTTGTAAAAGTTCTCTGTAGATTAGGGGAAATGGCCTTTTACATATGTAATGCAAATATTTTTTCCAGTTTTTTGCCATTTTTATGCTTTTTGTTTGATATTAAGCTTAGAAAGACCTTTCCACTCCAAAATTATTAGAAACAAAACCCACCTATCTTTTCTTCTTCTTCTTTTTTTTTTAAAGAGCCAGGGTCTCACTATGTTGCCCAGGAGAGTCCCAAGTGATCCTCCCGCCTTGGCCTCTCAAAATGCTTGGATTACAGGTGTGAGCCACCCTGCCTAGCCTCTTATAACATTTTAATGGTTTCAGCTTTTCTTTTTAAAATATTTGACCTATATGTAATTTATTTTGGTATGACAGGTGATGACGTAAAAATCCAGCTCTTATTTTTTCCAAATGGTCAGCCAATTATATTCAAATTGTGCATTGACTAATCTAACTTTTCCCCACTGATTTTAAATATTGTTTTTATTATGAACTAAATTTTCGTATGTATTTAGGTCTATTTTCAGACTCTGATCTATGGTTTGTATCTTCTCCTATATTATACCCTTACATGTTTGGTAAAGGAGGGGAAAAAAGACAGTGTTCCAGAAGAGAAAAAAAATTAGAGACAGGCAGCTATCTTAAAATACTTCATGATGGGAGCTGTCTGAACATTGGCTGGTCCAGGTTGCTGCGCAATTAAAATTTAAAAAATCCAAACCTCGTGTTAAGAAAAGTACCTCATTTGTGTCCCTCTAGAGGGCAGCACTGTCAACAAAGGGGGTAGAAATTCCATAAGAGCAGGTTTGAATTGCATCATAACAAAGAACTTTCTTTTCTTTTCTTTTGAGTTGGAGTCTCACTCTGTAGCCTAGGCTGGAATGCAGTGGCATGCTCACAAGTACCACAGCCTCGGCCTGCTGGGCTCAGGTGATCCTTCTGCCCCACCCTTCCAAGTAGCTGGAACTACAGGCGTGTGCCACCACGCCTGGCTAATTTTTTTTATTTATTGTAGAGATGAGGTCTCCCCAAGTTACCCAGGCTGGTCTCAAACGCCTGGACTCAGGCAATCCTCTGCCTCTGCCTCCCAAATTGCTGGGATTACAGGCGTGAGCCACTGCACCTGTCTTACACTGCAGATTCTAAATGAAACAAACACACCTAAGAAAGTTATTTGGCCAACAGAGTAAAACTAAACTAAGAGAAAACAAAACGTTTCAAATCTCACCAATCATCATCCTGGTTGTGCAACTGGCCAAGATCTTCTTTGGACCTGTACATGGCTGTGATCAAGACAAAGATATGCTTTCTTAAGAAAACCAGAACTCAAAACCAGAGACATTTGTAAATTCTGCATTTATTTTAGAGCAGCTTCATCCTAATTTAAAGTCGAAACTTTACTTTGTGAAGTGAAAAGTATTTAAATGTTTTCATTTGACTTTTCCTGCATGGAGAAAACTAGAGACAGGGTGTGTCACCCACCCGCCTTGCCCCACCAAGGTTCTTTGCAGATCAATAAAAAAGTCCAAAGCACAGTATGGTCCCTGACATTAAGTCACCTCAAACAACACATGCTATGGAAATGTGCAGGGAAGACAATCACTCATGGATTAGCCCCTAGATAAATTTTCTTATCGTAAGGCTTTAGTATTTGTGAACCCCTATATGCTCTCAGCTCCCCCAAAATGGATTTTAATCCCTGTACCTCCTCATGCCCCAGCTGGTCTTCCACCACTCAACCACCCCCTCACCCCTACTGGCCCTTCACCTCCTCATGCCTCTACCCTCCCTACACCTTCACTCCCCTTACTCCCACCTCTCGCTCCAAGGAAGTCTTCCACCTATCAGGCATTGACCCACCCTCTCCTATCCCTTATTCCCCACTCTCACCCGCTCTAGCCCAGACCAGGCCATCACAACCACCCCCCACAACATCCACTCTATTCCACCCCCCATTCTGCTTCCCATTGGACTTACACTAATCAGACCACTATGCCCCCCCACCATCTCCACTCCCCTACTCCCACCTCCAGCCAGTTTCCACCAATCAGACCTAGACCCCTCCAGTTCCTGCTTCATATTAGGCCTAGACCCTCCCCCCAGTTCCCGCCTCAGCCAGTCTTCCACCAATCAGGTCTAAACCCCTCCCCCTACCTCCCGCCTCAG